GGGAAGAAGGAAGGAAATAAGGGATGGATGGATGGATAGGGAAGGAAAATGAGGGATAGGATGGAGGGAGGGAGAAAGGAAGGGATGGAGAGAACCTTGGTCACTTTAAGCCTGGGAGGACTTCCAAAATTCCCCAGCCAGCTTTCCTGGGAGTTGAAGTCCACCAGGCTTAAAGTGGCCAAAGTTGGAGACTCCATTCTAGAGAACAAGGGATCATCAGAAGTCTGATTTTTTGAAATCAGCAGCCTTCCAACATTGTCTTCCAGCCTCAGATTTTGTGCCACGGGGCACAAAGAACCCCTGTTGAGATTATCATTGGTAATAAAGAGCCATTCAAAAACCAGCATCCAGTAAAAATTTTTTTTAAAAAAGCTATACATTTGAAAAAAAACACAGCCAAATGAATTGATACAGAAGTTTTGTTTTGTTTTCTTTCCTGGAGACAAATAGATCCGCTTCTAACGCCGCAATTTTTTAAACTTCGTTTTATTTTCACCTGCATCTGTCTGTCCATGTGGGAGAGAGAGAGAGAAAAAAGAAAAGAAAAGAAAGATAAATCTTTAATGATGACCTGGAGGCACAACGGACCATCTGTCCGAATTGTTCCTATAAAAATAGCATCAGTCTCTCTAAGAGAAGCTTCATTCACAAATTGATCCGGGCACCCAGGACGCCTTTGGCCTTGATTGCAACAGTTATCAGGACAGGTTTTTCTGTTGATCAATACACGATGCTGAAAACGCTTCTGGGCGGGCCTTCCATCGCACACGTGAGTACAAAATCCAGAATAACAGGAGTTGGAAGGGACCTTAGAGGTCTTCTAGTCCAGCCCCCTGCTCAAGCAGGGGATCCTATACTATTTCAGACAAGTGGCTGTCCAGTCTCTTCTGAAAAATCTCCAGCGTTAGAGCATTCACAACTTCTGGAGGCCAGTTGTTCCCCTGATTAATCATTCTAACTCTCAGGAAATTTCTCCCTTCGTTCTAAGTTGCTTCTCTCCTTGATGAGTTTTCATCCATTGCTGCTTGTCCTGCCTTGTGGTGCTTCGGAGAAGGGGGGACATGATAGCAGCATCCCAGGGGGGGACATGATAGCAGCATCCCAGTATTTTGAGGGGCTTCCCCAAAGAAGAGGGGGGTCAACTTATTCTCCTTCCTTTTATGAAACCAGGCATACCCAATTCCAGCAACCGATATTCATACATTTTATCCTCCAGTCCCCTAATCCTCTTCGTTGCTCTTCTTCTCTGCACTCTTTCAACATCTCTTTTTATATTGTGGTGACCAAAATTAGATGCAAGTACAAACACATATACCACAGTGCAGCATCTGGGCCCCTTTCTCAGTTGTGTAGTTCAGGGTTTTTGGGGTTGTTGGTTTTTTTTTTCTTTTTTCTTTGTCTTTTTTGCAATATGCAGATGTACACTAGCAAGAGGAGAGAGACTATATCGCCATGGTAACAGAGATGTAGCTGTTTTGACCATACAGGTAATCGTCAACTTACAACAGTTCATTGAGTAACCATTCAAAGTTACAACAGCCCTGAAAAAGGGGGACTTATGACTTGTTTTTCACACTTAATAACTGTGTTAGCATCCCCATGCTGAAAGGGCAATCTATTCTAGCAATGATGATGTTCCCTAGTTGGAGAACATCAAGGACCCCTCCTCCTCCTCCTCCTCCTCCTGCTGTCCAAAATATAACACTGATTATGTTACCTAGTTGGGTCATGTAACGTCTACAAGAAAAAGATCAAGCTCAGAGAGTACCCAGGACCCCACAGTCCTCCTTCTCAGTCCTTCTCTGCCACTGCTTCCTCTTCCTCCTCTCTTCCTCTTCCCCCTCCTCCCTGCAAACAAACCACACTCCTTTTTAGCACTGATGATGTCACCTAGTAGGGTCACAAGACGTCTGCAAAGAAAGCACCAAGCTGAGAGAGAGCACCAAGGGCCCCCAGTTCTGCTCCTCGTCCTTTCCCTTCTCTTTCTCCTCCTCTTCCTTCTCCTCCCCTCTTCCTTATCTGTCTCCTCCTCCCCCCCTTTTCCTCCTTCTCTTTTTTCTTCTTCTCCCCTTCCTCCTATTCTAGGAGCTGGTCCACACATCTTAAAGTTATTTAGTTTGCTATGGCAGCTAAAAAAAAAATACCAGCATTCCCGCATCAAAGGTTTGACTTTGAAATAAAATTGATTACTCGAAAAAGGTACATCCGGACTCCTGATATATATATTTTTTTCTCCTTTCCCATCAAGTTATTCACTTTTTGGATTGTGGAGTGAGAAGGGATTTATAAGATCAGCTAGTCCAGTCATGTATTCCCTTTAAGCTGCAATTCTCCAATACTGGCTCCTGGGTCAAATAGGAAATATATTACAGTATACACAGTATTGTATTTTGTTTTAAGCATCCTCGGATGAAAAACTGTAACATCCCATATGTCCTCTATTATAAAAATATAATGAGAATAAAACAAAGTTGAAGTCTATGCACACACAGCATTAGCAAGATGCTGCTGGATTTGTGTGTGTGTGTGTGTGTGTATGTATATGTGTATGTATGTGTGTGTGTATCTCTGTGTATATGTGTATGTCTCTCTCTCTCTCTCTCTGTGTGTGTGTGTGTGTGTGTGTGTGTGTATCTGCATTGTGGCATTTTTGCCCTCTGGGCCCATGGGACTACAAAACCCAGTGACAAATAGGTTTCTAAATGTAAACCTGTGTGTGCATAAAATTCTGGAGTGCGTGCTAAGCGCTCTCTTATAACAGCCGCTACAGCAACTTCCCTGATGGTTTAAGAAGGGAGGCTGGAAAACCAGCTGCATTGGGTTTGGCCTCACATTGCAGAGGGTGGAGCTGGATGATCCTTGGGGGGGTCCCTGACAGGTGAAACAAACCCCACAGTTTTCTGTGGTATGAAAATAAGCAAGAAGGTGGGAATCAGGGTACCTGGTCTCATTCACAGAAAACAAATAGGTGAAAAATGAAAGAAACGCGTCCATAGTTAGACCAGGGTTTCTGAATGCTGGAAACTTTAAAGATGGTTGGACTTCAAAAGTTTGGTAGGGCCCCAAACAGGCAAGGACTGAGGGAAGTTGGGGTCTAGGATGAAGGACTTTGGTGCTTGGGGTGCTGTTAAGGAACAAAAGAGGGATGGACTAGATGACCTTCAGGCTGAAAGGAGTTACTGGTCCCAAAGTTCTAGGCGGTTCCATCAACCCATCCATCCATTCATCAGGTTTTCCAATAACCCATCCATTCATTCATCCATCCAAACATCCATCCATCCATCTATCCACCCATCCTTCCATCTATGGATTCATCCATCCATCCATCCATTTCTCCATCCATCCATCCTTCCATCTATCCATCCATGGATTCATCCATCCATCCATTTCTCCATCCATCCATCCATGGATTCATCCATCCATCCATTTCTCCATCCATCCATCCTTCCATCTATCCATCCGTGGATTCATCCATCCATCCATTTCTCCATCCATCCATCCATGGATTCATCCATCCATCCATTTCTCCATCCATCCATCCATCTATCCATCCATGGATTCATCCATCCATCCATTTCTCCATCCATCCATC